TATATATAAAAGTAAGATCCACAAGAAATGATGTGACACCCTAAGAATTGAGTATTCTATATTTTCTGCATAGAGATTGAGTTTTGTGTATCCCACATTGATAAAGAGATGAAAGATTGACAACTGATGGTATGTATATGAGATGAGGTTGATGTTTTTTTGTTTTAACTCATGGGGTTTGATTCTCTTGATTGATTCTATAACCTCATATCATTAACTCATGTTGGCTAACCCTCTAAACTCATGGGATTGGTTCATTTTGGCCAACCCTTTGTTTGCAAAGAAGTCATCTTTATAAAAAAAAATCTTTATATATATTGGGCTCTCTCTATATATAAGTAAAATTCACAAGAAATAATGTGTCACCCTAAGGATTGAGTATTTTATATTTCTTGCATTGAGGTTGAGTTTGTGTATCCCACAGTGATAAAGAAATGAAAGATCGACAATTGATGGTAGGTACTTAAGAAGAGGTTGATGTGTCTTTATTCTAACTCACGGGGTTGGGTTCTCTTGGCTAATTCTATAAACTCATATCAATGGTTCATGTTGGCTAACCTTCTAAACTCATGGGGTTTGTTCATTTTGATAAACTCTCTATTTGCAAAAAAGTTGTCTATATAAAAAATCAATATATCAATACAAAAGAAAGCTATAAAATAATAAGGTGACATCATTAAAACCAAATATTTTAAATTTCTTGCATTGTGGTTGGATTTTGGGTATCCATATTGATTAGAAATTGATACGTCAATGAGGAAAATGAGTATATAAGAGAAATATGAGTTTCTTTTGAAAATTAAAAGGTTCATTTGGCTATATAAGCCATGTTTATCTATAAATATAAACATTTTTTTCCTCAAAACCATATAAAATCACATTATAATATTGATAAACCCAAAATATAAAACGAAACATTAAAATCAAGATTTATCTCGTTGCATTGTGCGAATACCCTTCTAGTAATTTTTTAAACTATATTTAATTGAAAAACTACATTTCTTAATGGAAAAAATGGTGATATATTTAAGTCAATGTCTTTGATTAATTGAACTACTAAACCAAGCGACTTATCGGGGGTCATGACATGTTTGGGTTATAATCAAAGAATTTAATTATTTTTATAATTTATTTTCATAAATTATTTATTAAAAATGGAATTTAATTTCATTACAAATTCTACGAACCAAATAAGCCATGGATTTCAAATCTTTAAGGAGCATTTGGTTCACGAAATGTAGTTTTGATGGAAGTGGAATACATCAAAGGAATTGAAATGAATTTTGAGTGTCTGTTTGGCTGACAAGAATTTAAAATGGAACCTTGCAAAAGCATTAAAATATGCATGTGCAGTAGAGATGGCCAAATCGGCCCGGCCCGGCCCGGGACCAGGACCGACAAAGGACCGGCCCGGGACCGGGACCGGTAAGGACCGGTTATGGGACCGAAAACCGGGACCGGTTGAGGTTTTTGGTAGTTTCGTGAGACTGGGACCGACCGGGACCGGGACCGGTTATGGGACCGACTATGGACCGGCCCGGCCCGCCCCGAAAATTTAAATAATTTTATTAAATAAATGTATTTTTAAATAATTTTATAATGTATTTTTATAAGAAAACGTAATTTTAATTATATTAAAACACATTTTTAAAGTGTATTTGAGTGACCAAATTGTAAATTTTATAATGTATTCAAAATATATATCATTAAAAAAATAAAAAAAAATCTTATTTTTTTAATGCAATGACCGGTTGGGACCGGGACCGGGACCGACGGCCCATAACCGGTTATGAAGTAACTTGACCGGTCCTATCATTTTCGGATGGGATCGGGACCGAGACCGAGACCGGTTACGCCGGGACCGGTTATGGCCGGTTATGAGAAAGATAAGGACCGATTGGGACCGGCCCGGGACCGGTTTTTGGCCATCTCTAATGTGCAGGGAGTGGTGGTGGAGGGTGGCGGTTGTAACGAAAATAATAGTGGCATGGTGATTATAGAGGTGGGGAGGGGGGCAAGGATAGGGGGAAGTGTGAGTGGGTGGCGGTGGGTGCGAGTAGGGTGGCGGTGGGTGCGAGTAGGGTGGGTGGGTGCAGGGCGACGATTATGATGGCGAAAGTAATGGCGTGGTAGTGAGTGAGTCAAGGTGGGTGACGGTTGTGACAACGAAAGTAGTACCGTGGTGATGGGTGAGTGAGGTGACGGGCGATACAGTGATAGTGGTAGTGTGGTCATGTTGAGGTAAGGTGGGTGGCAGCTGTGATGGTGGATAATAGTGGCGTGGTGGTTGTGGCGGTTGGGGTGGGCAAGGGAGTGGGTGATGTTGGTTACAAGTGATGCCGAGGGATGTAATTCAATTCATTCATTTATGACGATGAACGATGAATTCATTGATGCATGGAATTCTAGGGAATCCATGAACCGAACAAAAAAAATTGGAATTTCGTCAAAGAAATTGACCATTCTAATTCCCTTGAAATCTCATTGATTCTATAAATCAAAACACACCCTTACAATTCCAAATCCTACCACGAAATCTAAATCTCTCAAAAACATTCGTCAAACCAAAAACGCTCCCTTAATTATATGAACACGTCATTATTGCATTTATTTTAAAGCTATAACTTCATAATATTCGATATGTACGTTAGGTACAAACTAGGGGTGTTCATGAGTTGAGTTTATCAGGTTGAAGACATTTGAACAACTCAAATCAAAGTACAACCCAACTCAATCCAAACTCATATGGGTTGGTCGGGTTGATACTTTGGTACAGTAAAATATTCTTCTAATTTTGAATATGTTGTTTTCTCTAGTCTACTCATAATTTATTCTTCATCATCAACAATTTGGTACAACTTATCCATACTTCTTAAGTATATAACATTCAATTAATTTTCTCAATTTATATATCTGTGTGTATGCTCATGGTTACTAAACATATATACAAATGAGTAATATAGAAATGTATAATAGATTGAAAATATATGTATATAAAGACGTTGCCTGATGGTGTAATTGTCTAATGTACATATTAATAGAGACTCAACAATCATACTAAATACAAGAAATAAAAGGATATCGAGTTCATCAAGTTGAGTTCAAATATAAGTAACTCAATATGTAATTATGGTTTTAAGATTTTACAACTCGATTAGATATCAAATTATATTATCGTACGTTGGATTGGATTGATCAGATCGGTCGGATTGATAAACACCCCTGGTGCAAACTAGGGCCGTAAACGAACCGAACGTTCAGCGAACCGTTCGGTGGGAAGTTTGTTTATGTTCGTTTATTTAATAAATGAACGGACATGAACGAATTATTTTGTTCGTTTAATTAAATGAACGAACATGAACCAAAGTCTCGTTCGTTCATTTATGTTCATGAACGTTCGTTCATTTACCGTTTGTTCATTTATATATTAAAATTAATATATAATCTTTTATTTATGTACTTTGAATTCAAATAATATTTATTTATGTTCATTTATCTCGTTCATTTATGTTCGTTTAGACCGTTCGTTTATGTTCGTTCGTTTAGCATGTCAACGAATGAACATAAACGAAAACGAACACAACTGAATTCTAAACGAACAAACACGAACATAAAGATTTTCGTTTGTTTACCGTTCATGTTCTTTCGTTTGTTCGTTAAGTTAAATGAACGAATTTGAACAAGCTTCCGTTCGTGTTTGTTCGGTTCGTTTACGGCTATGATGCAAACCGGATTGCAATGGGTCTAAATCATGTATCGAACCGCATATACCGTGCGTATCTGTCAAAACGTATTTGAAGTTTTGAACCAGAACCGACCACAAAAAAGAGCAAAAAAAGGTACAAAACAAAAAACATGGCCATGAAAATTTCGTAGCTCTTATCATACACACACGAGAAAGAGATAGAGAGAGAGAGAGAGAGAGAGAGAGAGAGAGAGAGATTATCATCGCTGTCTCATTTTGTCGATGAGATGATCGATGGATCGATCGGGATGGCGTGTAAATGCAGCGTCGAAAGGAGAAGCGTAATGTACTCTAATAATCTTAGGGAATTTTGTTTCGACAGGGAGAGGAAAAAATTCAATCGGAAAAATCTGCGAAACGTATCCACGATTCCGATTTTCAAACGGAGTTTCTCCAGATGTCGATCTGTTTCCGGCAAAAGTTGCATTATAAGGTCAGTTCACCGATTTGTTTATCTCTGATCGCTTTCAGAAATTGTCTTTTTATTACAGTTTTTTAGATTCTAAAAGAGGCTTAAATTAGGAATATTATGTGGATTGTGCTTAGTGGATCTTCTTATCTTTTATGTGTGTGTGTGTTGTTGTACAGCTGGTGATTTGTTTTGTGGGTAAATTTGTTCTGCAGGTTTAATTTTTTTTGGATGCATCGTTATCAGTAGTTATTTATTTATTTTTTCTTCCTTTCCAGCCTCCTTTTCCGATTATATAAAATCATGTGCTCCATCCGTTGCAGAAACAGTTCGCTCAGAGATTTGGAAGGATCTACAAGATAACTTTATCTTTATGATCATATTCACACATGAACCAATGCAAATTAACAAAATGTGTGATTTAGGCTAGATAAACATTTATGTAAATTTGGAAATAAGATTTTGTTTAGACTAAAAAAATGGGGAGGGAGGGTTGGATATCTTTGAGGATAGTCTTTATTGACTTCTAACTTTTAAGGATGTTTTTAATGTATATTTGTTTCCTAAAATCAAACTGCTTTCAGAAATAAGCGTGGGGTTTTTAGTTGAAGGTAATATAGGAAATGCATGATGATCATACTTCAAGATAGGAATGTACCTATTCTGGAGTACATCTCACGTTTATAACAAACCAATCAAAGCTACTTTTCAAGTATCTCTCTCACATACAATCGACGTACCTGCATGACTTGCCAAAGACTAAGAGAGTTACCATGCCATTTACGCCTCAATTCGATTTGTTTATTGTAACAAGTTTGCAACTTGCAAGGTGAAATGATGCAGTGTTCTTTTAATATCTTCTCTTTTTGGGGGGTGGAACAAAACTTAAAATGTTACTTCTTGCGAGTATGAAATGTTGATAACAGTCTCGTTTCTCTTTAGCTGTGAATGTGTATACTATGGTAGTGTTTGAGTGCAAGGTTTCATCTCAATTCCCATTCTAAATACTCCAAACGTGCCCTATGTCTTATGGTTTGCATTATATTATCTATTTCATTACTAACAAGAATCTTGGTCAGCAACAGGTTGAGGCCTAATGTGGTCTGAGATTATATGCTTGTGACAATGTTGCCCTGAAATTAATGTCTAGTTATCTCCACTTTTCAGGATTTAGCTGATTCTTGGTGTGGTACTGTAGAAACATTTGGTTCGTCCATGTACGAGTATTACTGTGAAAAATACTGTGAAAAATCTGAAAAATGCATACAGAGTTTAGGTCTTGTTCTAAATCATCCACTCGTAACCTTTGGTGTAAACTTCAAGAAAAAGAAACAAGTGTCATACATTTAAAGCATGTGTATTGATTTTTTGTGTGCATTAATTGTAATACTTGATGTGATATTATGCCATTGTTACGCTTTATTGTTGCTACCAAAAATAGCACATATCCTGATATCTGATAGATACACATTGCAGTATGGATGTTCGGGAGAAATCAAGATCCACATTGTTTGAGACATCTAAACACAAGCGGGTTCCAATCTATGTTATGATGCCAATCGACTCTTTTGGGGTTGATACATCTGGCACTCCAAGAATCAGAAAGTAATTATCATTTCCTGTAGTTCCAATGCCAATTTGGAAATGGAGAAATAGCCTTCTTACACATGGATAAATTTGGATTTAATAATCTATATTTTATTATCTCTGCATACCTTTTTCCAATTTCGGTGGTGACCTGTATACATGTATACATCGCTCTTGTTGTTTCAGAATCAAGGCCTTAACTATATCTCTAAAAGCACTCAAGTTGGCAGGTGTCCACGGAATCGCAGTTGAGGTTTGGTGGGGGATTGTAGAGAGATTCTTCCCCCATGCATATAATTGGTCTCTATATGAAGAACTTTTCAACCTGGTATCTGAAATGGGGTTAAAGTTACAAGTTGCATTGTCTTTTCATTCAAATGTTCATTTATCTTCACGAGTACAAGGTGTTAGCCTTCCACAGTGGATCACAGAGGTTTGCTTCTGTACTTTGGAATTTCTACCACCACTGATCATGTTAGTAGGTTTGCTTTCATTACAGAAAAGGGTCAGACCTCTTAAATGTGGATGTGTTGTTTTGTTTTTCAGATTGGTCGTCATAATAAGGACATTTACTATCAAGACCAGAATGGGTTTCCTAATGCCGATTATCTTACGTTAGGGGTAGACAATATTCCTTTGTTTCATGGACGTACTGCTATTCAGTGTTATGAAGACTTTATTTGCAGTTTTGCAAACAAATTTGATTCCTTGATGGGAACCGTAATTGAAGAAGTTTGTGTTGGTCTTGGACCTTCTGGGGAACTTAGGTACTAATCTACTTTTCTCTATATGAATGTACAGTTGTTTTGGAAGATAAATCTTGTTGATCACAAAATGCAGGTATCCTGCTCATCCCTTTCAAGATGGTAGATGGCAGTTTCCTGGAATTGGTGCATTTCAGTGTTATGACAAATACATGTATGGCAGCTTAAAGTCTAATGAACCAACTAATTTTATGCACACACTGTTCGGGGAATGCATGATGGGTGCAGCTTTTCCTTTTTCCTCTGCTGCTTTGTTTATTCACATTTATCGTGTTTGTTTCTGTACCGTTAGGATGGAAGACTTGCGGGCAGTTGCTTGGCAAGAAGGGAAGCCTGATTGGGCAAATAAAGGACCTCCAGATGCTGGTGACTATAATAGTTTTCCAACTGATGTTCCTTTCTTTGAAGAAGGAGAGGGGAGCTTTCTATCTGACCATGGCCATTTTTTCCTGGTAAGCCATTCATTATTTCACTTATGGACATTAGTAAGCGAAGATTTTGTCCTCCAATGGACCATCCATCTCTGGTGATGTTATATCAATCCCTCGGACTAAAAGCCCACACGACCTCACCATGTGACAACTGATAAATTCTATAGAGTAGACCGATGTGATGAAAGGCCGATGAGTAAGATGTCTTTGGTGCTCCAACATCGGGATTTTAATCAAACTAGTGTGTAAATCGTATCATCCTGAGTGCAAAATTTGCTGTCAAACCCTAAAAAGATAATATATTTTCAATTTGGGTAATTTTTCAATATGTATCTACATATCTATTTGGTCATAATGATGCTGAATGCCGACTCGCGGTTAATATGTACTTTTTATACATTATCTCTATGTGTGGGATTAGGGACATAAGACTAAGAAAAGGATGACACATTTTATTCTCTACTAGATAGCATGACTCCATCAATGTTTCATGATAGATTGCAAGTCTGAAGGGCTATGAGAAGATGTTATATGCAAGTTCACGAAAGCATCTCTGATTTCTACCTGAATTTTGCCTTGTAGGAGTGGTACAGTGATAGATTGCTCCGTCATGCAGATTCCATTCTTGGAGTGGCAGCAAAGTTGTTGCAAAAGTATCAAGAAAATGAGCAAAATTCTATACGTATTGTGGCTAAAATTGGTTTACTATATTGGTGGTATCAGACAGTGTCTCATCCAGCTGAGCTTACTGCGGGTTACTACAACACTGCTTTTAGGGATGGTTATGATCCATTGACTTCAATGTTGTCTCGTCATGGAGCCGCTCTGCAGATTTCGTAATTTGCGATCCATGAATCTCTTCATATCCACAGCTTTAAGATGATGAAAAATAAAACTTTCTTCATTTCTTCTGGCATTAAGATGACAAAAAATAGCTACTTAGCCCCGTCAAAAAGTTTGGTTTGCTTAATACAAGCTTTGTGTTGCTAATCCCTTCACATTTTACATGGACTTTCTAGATCAAGTAGTTGTGGGGTATGCTTATTAGCTAGATGAATCTTTTTACAATGCTTTCTTTTTTGCTTACCTTGTAGCTGCTTTGAGATGTTGGACAATGAAACTCCCAAATCTTTTTTGTGCAGTCCGGAAGGTTTGCTTCAGCAGGTAATCTCCTTCCTTCTTAACCATTACTGGTTTCCTTTCTGGTACTATATCATGCTCCACTTTCTTGTGTGATATCTAAAATGTGATTGGCTTAATTCAGAGTCGGGATTAATTAACATTTCTATTGAAATACTCCTAATAGTACACGAATAGCTTATTCTCTTAAATGAGCTTGTGAAGGCTGTTTGGGGGAAAAAGTCATGGTTAGTATGTTTAGCTTTCAGCTCTTCATTTCCAGTTGTGGCCTCTGTAACTATATGTTGCCAAAGCAATCAACCAGCAGCTGAACATGAGGGGCCTTGGTTAGGCATAAACTAACATCATACACAATCACACCCCGAAGATAATTCTGTTATAATTGGTTAAGGTTTCTTGCACTTGTCTAAAAGAAGTTTAACTCTTGACAAATCCAACTTAAATATAATTTAATTATCCAAACCATATTGGCACATCACATCCCATAGCCATAGTCGACTACTCCTTTATGTATCCTCAAAAACCAAATCAAACCAAACAAACCCAGTAAATCCCACAAAAGAGCTAGGGTCTTAGGAGAGTAGGATGTACAGAGACTTTTTCATTTATCCCAAGAGAGCAAGCTACAGGTGCAAGTGTGTGCAAACAAGGACGGATATAGTTGAATAGTAACAATAACAGAAAAGGGAACATGCACAAACATGAGAAAGATAGGACAAAACAAAGAAGGAAACACAAAGTGTACTACCATCTACCTACTAGTAGATGCAAAGGTAGACATGAAAAGTAGGAACTAGGAAATACCAAGACAACCTCTATCTGACCTAAGACTCCGGTAGCCTAACTGCCACGGCGCTACCTCTCCCCCTCTAATCTCTATCTTCTCCAGAAGTTACATCCTCCATTAATGCTACAGGCCCCTACCTATAGTCCAAAGCCCTAGTCCCTTATGTATTCTCATGTATCTTTAATTTTAATTTCTTATTGTTAACAGAAAAATAGAGAAAGAACCTAATACTTTATTTGGAGGAACTCTATTATTTCCTTCTGAGAAGCAATGACATATGTGGTGATACCAAAATCTGCTGACCTCGAGTGTCATAGAAGTTCTTCATATTGTATATGTAACATATGTATGCAATCTCCAAACACAATTTCTTCAGGGCCGTGAATATGTGCTATGCCAATGTTCTACAGTTGTGATGCGTATGATTGTGTGCTATTAAAATTCATGCTGTAATATAGCTGACTTATGATCTACTACTTACCAGATAAGGACTGCCTCAAAGAAAAGGGTAGTAGAGTTGATCGGAAGAAATACACATGAACGGTTTGATGAGGTATGTGTTTTCCTTTTACATGTGACTTTTATTTTTATGCAAGATCTCTAAAACCGTGGTTCTAGTGCCCTCAAGGTATTTTCACAATTCGTATGTGGATAAAGTTGTAACAATACTGAAACATATGGCAAGAAAGAAGTGTAATAAGTTAATCCGTGGTGTGACCAAATAGGATTGGACAAGACAGGACAGACGAGAGTGACGTAGGCGGGTGAAAGAATCATGGAAGGTTTTAGGGTTGTTAACTAACATAAGTAGTTTAGTTATTTACCAATCTTCTCCCATCTCCCTTGTTTTTAGTTCCACCTATGCATGTTTGTCCACTCAGTCAAGTCCTGTCCTAGTTTAATCTCACGTCAAACATGGGGCAACAAGTTTTGTTCTGTCCTTCCCGCATACCAAATGCACCTGTATTCCTACTGGAAAGTAGGCTTCGAGGGTGGGATGTATGCGTACATGTCCTCTACCCCAAAGAGTGGAGTGGTTGTTTCCCTGGCTTGTGCAAGAGTGTGAGCAAAAAGGTAGAAGGAACAATGACCGGCACTAAGCACAAAACGAGAAATAAAGTAACAACAAAAATGATCAAAAAAAATGAGCAAACCAACCCAATTCTAAAAATGGTCGCACAAAAATGGTAACTAGTTCATATACTCTTTTATGTTTTCGTCTTGTAGTACACTTTGTGCTATCACTGGAAGTTACCGAAATAAACCCAATTTACGATGCGTTCTTGAGTCCTCTTTTACGAAGGAAAAGGAGAGAAAGGGTAGGAAAGTTAGGGGGAAAGTAAACAAGGGTATATTTTGATATCTTTCCTTTCATTATCTCCTGCACAAAAACATGAACATCCCTAGCCTTCTTGACGAATAAGTGGAAATTCTAGTCTTAGGGTGCGGCTTGTTTAAATTGATGTGTGATTCCCCAAGTTAACAAAGAGTGATTGTAGCTTATTTGGTAGTATCATTGCATGTGACATTCGAGGTTGCAAGTTCAAAACTTCAAATCTCTTTTGGATTTTCAATTTTTAAGTAACAATAGCATAAAAGAAGTAAAACAAAACCACTTGTATGTCAACTTTTAACTTTAATAAACAGTATTTTTTATGATTATTTTATATTATATTATTTATTTTGTGCTTACGTCTGGAAATTTTTCTGGATCCGCTTGTGGCAACAAATATACAAGACTAATAAAGCATGTTTGTTAGCAGCTTAATGAGCTTGATGGGATTCACAACTGTACATGATTGTAAGATTGTTTGGTAACTCCTTAATAATATAGAAAGTGGCTTATTTAGTAAGCTTCTTAGGGGAGAGCTCTATGCAGAAAGCAAAGTCTTTTTCCAACTCTGCCTCTCCCAATGGAAAACATGCTTCTTCCATCTACGAAAAAAACCCTCCCAAACAAAAGGTTTACTAATCTACACAGACAGATTAATCCACACAGACAACTTTACACGACTTAAACAAACAACAATTTAGTGTGGTAATTATGTATCTTTTATATTTGAGAAATGTATACGTGTGTTGCAGGCAGGACTAAAGCAGATACATTCAAATTGTTATGATTCACAAGCAGAAGCTGTGAGATCATTCACATATTTCAGAATGAATGATAAGATATTTAGAGTTGAAAACTGGAATAACTTTGTACCATTTGTGAGAAGGATGAGCACTCATTTGTAAAATCTTACCTTTTTAAACAACACAATATTATTGCAACTTCATTCATGTGTTATAAACAACCATTTTTAACTTTAAACCATGATTTTCAAGGTGCTTAATCTGTTTTTTTCTTTTGTGTCGGTTTTTATAATATTATAGCAATGCGTAACTTGTTACATTTTAAACCGGTTAACCCCATTTTTTTTTTGTTTACAAGGCTTGATCGCTGTGACGTAAATTATAATCATAAAAAAATACAATTTGTCCCGTATGAATCTTCATATTTCCTATAGGGTGCCACCAAATTTGATTGCATATAAATATACGAAAACCTTGCTTAACCTCAAAAACCATAACCGTTGCGATTTGAAAACATTAAGTCAATCAAATCTTAAAACAGAAATCAGATGAAAGTTAAGAACCTGTTTGTTAACAGTTTAATTGGACTCATAGCTTATTCAATCAACTATACATGATTGTTTAGTAGTGGTTTAATGATATAGAAAATGATTTATTCAATAAACTTTTAGGAAAGAGTTTTGGGTAGAAAACAATTTTTTTCCTCTTCCAAATTTGTCATTCCAATTAAATATTCGTTCTTTCTATAAAAAAAACTTTTACAAATATCTTCAAACAGGTTAATCTAATACAAATAATTTTATCCATAAAAAACAAGGAAAATCAAACCGAAAAACCCCTTAGGTCCCATTTGATTTGAAGAAATGGAATTGATTTAGGGGAATTTGCATTTCAAATCCATTACAAATCCTATGTTTAGTTTGTTGGATTATTTGGATTTGAAATCCTAATATTTAATTAAAATCCTTCAAACATAGAACTTTTTTTTATTAACCTGGATATACAACTCGCTATGCGAACCGACTAATCTCAGGGTGACCACCTGCTTTGCAGATAGCACGAAGTCACCGCATTTGAATCTCCGTGACCACAAGGAGATTTTTATTCCTCATTGGATTGGAATCTGGACCTCCTGGTACTTTTGACCTTTGGAGCCAATCTCAAACCCATCAGGCACCACCCTTGTGGTTCAAACATAGAATTTGAAATCCTTACGGAGAGCTCGGGATTTCTTAGGGATTTCGTAGGATTGTATGCAATAAGGTTTTATAAAATATTAAAAACATTTGTTTTGTAATAGTCGATTAATAGAAAATGTAATTCAATTATGTTTATAATTATTTATAAAAATAATGAAATCCAATTTCATTCAAAATTCTACAAACCAAATACATCAATTATTTTAAATTCCTTCAAATCTAAATCTCTATGTAAAATCTAAATCCTTTTAAAAAGAATCATGTAAACGAAAGGCAGGCTTAATTTCATCGTGAATCAATTTCCATATATGGCTATTGTTGATGTTATTGTTGGTTTTGGGCCTTTGTTATGGACCTTTGAAAGGATATGGTTGAGAAACAGCCATGGCGCCTGCCTTTCTCTTCTCTCATTTGACCTCTCAGAATATTCCTTCCCATTCATTTCGTCTCTCTCTCTCTCTCTCTCTTTCTCTGTAACTGCAATCACCAAGATGGCCATGGCCATGGCCAACACTCTATCATCACCTACAACCCCTTATTCCTCCAGGAAAACCATTCCCCTTTATTCATCTCCATTCCTTTCCCTCACCCTCAAACCCCCAAATTCCTTTCTCTCTCTATCTTCCCACCGGATCCGGTTCAAACCCAATCGGAAAACCACCCTCATCATCGCCAAATCCAACGACAGCGACTCCATTGACGGCCCTGACCGCTTAATCTCCGCTGTCTGTTACTTCTACCCCTTCTTCGACGGAATCCAATACGGCAAATACGTAATCACTCAATTCTCCTTTCTACAAACCCTAATTCAACCTCTTGTACCTGCAATTAGGGTTTTCAAAAGCTTCCCTTTCAATGGATTCTTAGTGTTTTTGACACTCTACTTTATTGTTGTTAGGAACCCTAATTTCAGTAGGTATGTGAGGTTTAACACTATGCAGGCGATAGTGCTTGATGTGCTGTTGATTTTTCCTGATCTTTTGGAGAGGACTTTTAATCCAAAAGATGGGGTTGGATTAGATCTGCTGATGAGTTTGGATAGCACTGTGTTCTTGTTTCTGTTGGTTTCTTTGATTTATGGTTCATCTTCTTGCTTTTTGGGGCAGGTTCCTAGATTACCCATTGTTGCTGATGCTGCTGACAGGCAAGTTATGTAATCAAACACTGTTTTGATTTCCAATTTGTATTGAAGATTCTTAGCCCTGCTTTTATGGATTGTTTCTTGTTCATAATCTGCTCATTCTTATGTTATGTAGTGTTTTCATATAAATGCTTGCTATAAGAATAGTAACTACTAAAAGCTTTCAATCATGGTGTTGGCTAAAAGGGGTGTTCGGAAACCCGACCAACCCAACGTAAGAAAATCCAAAAAAACTCGATCCTAGATGACCCCTTACACATAGTAAAAGGGAAATATCACGTTTGTACAACCAATGCAACTTAATCAATTGAGATATTTATGGAAATGATGGAAGCTCATTTATTATGATTTGAATATTTATGGAAGATGACTAGGGTTCATTGATTATAATCAATACTTTATGAAATCATATATTCATCAAATTAAATGGACGGTTGAAATTGTGTTGTATTAGTTGTATAAATATAACGGGTCGTATAATAACTCATTTCTCTCTCTCTCTCTATATATATATATGACCAACCAGTAATTAATTATATTCAAAATTATATTACAATTTCAATCGTAATTTTATGTTCTTATTTTTATGAACCTTCAACCTTTTCTTTTTGAGTTCTCTTAGCCTTTTTTGTATGTTCTCATTTTAATTTTACTTCGGTTAAGCACAAATACATAGCTAGATTATAAAATGATGTACCAAAGTTGTAGCCCAACCTAACATGTATGGTTTGGGTTAGGTTGGGTTGTTCAAATGCCTTCAACCCCATCAACCCATGTGCATAGCTAGATTATAAAATGATGTACCAAAGTTGTAACCTAACCTAACTTGCATGGTTTGGGTTAAGTTGGGTTGTTCAAATGTCTTCTACCCCGTCAACCCATGTGCAGCCCTAAATTAGCTACCACGGTTTAGAGGTGGTTTATTTTTTCTATATTAAGCCCTACATGGGTTAAGATGTCTGTTTGAAGGACGATGGAAGGTCAATGGGTTTGAGGGAGGCAAATAGAGAAGGGTTGGATTGTTTTTGGACATTTCTAGTATTAATTTGTTTGAGATGGCTTAATGGGGACAAGTGAGGGGTTTCAGGTTCCTACATGTATGCCTACCGATGGTCTGATGTGGGACTCCAACAGACTGAATTAATCAATAATCTCTGAATACCTGAAGGCTTGGGATCAATTTGACCTCAAATACAAAACGAAAACTGAATCACCACGATGAACACACGTAGACATAAAAAAACGATTACACAAACCAACGTATATGCAACAAATGCGTTATTGAGGAGTTTCGTTTTCGTGGTTCAATTGTTGGTTACTTTTCCTTTGATGAACTTGAAAGTGTGTTATTCTTGTGGCATCCTGTTTTTCTTGCTAAACTTTTGTTGCATGATTCCTGAATTCTTGTACAAGTTAAACATTTAATCAAAGAGAAATTAAGCAGCCTTTATAAAGTAGAATGGATTTAGTTGTAGGGTTGTATACATTAAGAAGTTTGATAGCATTTTGTGGGTTTCCATTTTTTTTATTAACATGGATATTTAACCCGCTATGTGAGCCGACTAATCCCAGGGCGACTACCTGCTTTGCAGATAGCCTGGAGTCATTGCATTTGAACCTCCGTTGCTACAAAGGGTTTTTTATTCCTCCTTGGATTTGAACCTGGGACCTCCAGGTACTTTTACCTTTGGAGCCAAACTCAAACCAATCAAGCACCACCCTTATGGTTTCAATTTTAGATCTTTTAAAGTAAACCAATGTTTTTTTTTTGTTAACCGTTGGTATCTGGGACAGTTTGCAGCATCTGGACTAAAATCTCGAAGGACCTGGAAAAAACAGTCAAGAAAGTCCTTAGTGATCTTGGAGGGACTCAAACTGATGATCTATGAAAAGTAAGAGTCCCAGCCTTAAATGAACCAAAATATGTTGTTTTAAGGCGTTTGAGTTTACAATAAAAACCCTAGCAATGAATATAAATGTAGGTATTAAAATCCTAGCAATGATCATAAATGCAACACAATCGTTGCTGGATTCGTTTGTTATTAAATTAACACAGTATATCTCATTCAAAAGTAAGGTATAAAGACAATATAATTGTAGCATATCTCAACATTCGGTTGTGTAAAAGTGTGAGCTGAAAAGGAAAAGAGGAATAACGACTAGTAAATAGTAAGGCCATTGAAACATATAAAGAGTTCGTGTATCATGAGACTTGGTTACCTAATCTGTCAGTTTTGTAACCTTCCCCGATCCACCCTGGAGAAGGTATTAGGATGTGTATGTTCGTTATTCTTTTGAGAAAATAACTTATACAAGGATACGTGTGATGTACTTTTGTCGTGTTTGGTAAGGGACAAGACATAATGAATGAGGTAAGGTAGGCGGGTGAAAGAATTGTAGAATGTTTTAAGATTTTAATTTGTGGCAAGTAGTTTAGTAATTTATCAATCTTTTTGCAAATGTAATATGCATTTTTGTCACGATCGTCTTCTTGTATTATTATGTTCCATTATATGTTGCCTATATAAACACAAGCATATCTTTTTATGATGGACAAAAGTTTATACGTCGTGACAATTTTATTTTATAAAATATATAGAGGTTGTGAGACCGATATGTTTTCGTTACATCTGTGAGACTATTTTTTTACACTTGAAACTTCACAGTAAAAACGCGGTGAAGGTAAAAAAAAAAAAACCGAACCTTTATAGCAAAAACACTGTGAAGGTTACCTTCATGGCGTTTTGTTGTGAAGTTTCAAATGTAAAAAAAATGGTCTCATGAGTCTCACAAAAACATGTTGGTTTCACGTGATTCTAAGTATATATATATATATATATTTGATTATATATTTTTATTGAATATTTAGTAAAACGTGTGAAGTAAATATTGATTTGAAAAGAAGAGGTGGTTGATTTTCTCCAAATTCAGTAAACAAATACCGCAATTATAGCCATGTGCTTCTGGTGGTCGTTTTATAATTTATCAACTCAAACAACCCATTATATTTCATTTTCTATAAAAAAAAATTAAAATTAAAGAGTAACTATTTAATTGTTTGCTTTGAATGCTTAAAATTATATCTTAAAGATGCAAAAATATTACTGCTAACGTATGCTGTTATAAATGATCTAAAATCGATCAGCTAACAATCTTTCTTTTCTGAGGTATTTGGACGATTGAACATGTATTTATACTCATTATTAATTTGAATGCGTAATGATGTGGTTTGATTCTTTTTAGTATCGTAAGAATTCCATCATTTTTCAACGAGCCATTTTCAGTAAACCAGTAATGATCTGATTTGAGCTTTGCTCAAAAAGTCAAAAGTATCAGGAGGTCTCATGTTCAAATCCAAGGAGGAATAAAAATCCCTTTTGTGGCCACAAAGGTTCAAATGTGGTGACTCTGGGCTATCTGCAAAGCAGGTGGTCGTCATGGGATTAGTCGGCTCGCATAGCAGGTTGGATATCCAGGTTAATAAAAAAAATTAGATAAAATAATACGGTTGTTAACGTAGAGGGAGGATCAAATAACGACAAAGTAATAATAAGAGAACATCGAGAATGATCAAATTGTATATGATTTTGTATTGAAATCAAATGCATTTACCGACGTAGCTAACGTAAGGGTATGTAGGTAACCTAGTCAGTAGCTAAGTTCACATATTTTACAGTTGGGTTTATTTAAAGGACAAATTGCATGAAAAAATAACGTACTTTAACTTGATTCCTATTTTGGGTAACGTACTTTCAAAACTTCCATTTTGGTACCTAAAATGTAAAATTTTAAATATTTAAGTACTCGAGTAACCAGTTAACGCATTAACCGGTTACCATGCTGATGTGACGAGTGATTTTGTATCCAACTCTGTATTATTTGCTATTCAACCCAATTTCATCCCATCAGTCACCACATCAACATGGTAACCGGTTAATACTTCAACTGATTGTTCGGGTACTTATATGTTTAAAACTTTACATCTTAGGTACCAAAATAGAAGTTTTGAAAGTACGTTACCGGAAATAAGAATCAAGTTAAAGTATGTTACTTTTTTTATGTAATTTAACATTCTCGTATCATTATATTTTATTACTGTTCTCGTTTGAACCCAACTGTATAATCATCAGATTTTCAGAAAAAATATGTAGGATTATTAAATTATTTTTTATTATTAAAAAACTCATTATAATATATATATTTTTTGGAAGTCGGGTGTATAATAAATATTTAGAAACATAAATTATTAGAATTTTAATTGGTGATTTGTCGGTGGAAGCATCTGGACCAAACGTATTACATCTTCTACCGACGTGGACTGATGTCACTGGATGCACAGCTGTCTTCCTTTTTTTCATTTCTAACCCTCTTCTTTTCAGGAAACTACATAAAACACCCTTTGAATATTCACCACCCAAATATATCAATCCACTCTTAAAACTTAGAGTCTGTTTACTAAATGCTTACTCGGATAAATAAACACCAAGTCACATTACCTTATCGAATGAATATGGTAAAGACCAAGGTACTTACCCGGTAAAAGAGGGACAAAGACCAAGAGTCTTATCGGGTAAGTGAGGGCGACGACTCTTATCACGGTAAGCGCTTGCCGGGTAAATTGTTACATACAATACCGTTTTTGTGGATTAAATTTTACCCGGTAAGTAAATGATGTTGTTAAATTTTACTGGTAAACGCTTGCTGGATAAGTGTTTGGTAAACGGTCCCTTAATGTTTTAAATTTTGTCTACTTTTTTTAACTGTCTTTTCAAAATCCAAATATTTCAATTTCATGCCTTCCGTTTTATATTAGTTGTTGTAATTTTTATTTATTTACTCTATTTAATGATCTGATTGTTAGTTGAGTGATTAAGGTTGTTAATTAGGGGTTTTTTGATAGTTGCTGAATGGTTTGGTGTAAAATAATTAAATGGTTAGAATGATTACGAGATTTTCATGATATCATGCAAAATGAAATATAATTGTTTGGTAATTGTTTACTATGAAATTAAGGCGTTTAATGGGTAAAGGAGGCCATGATACAAATTCATTCAAATGATTTTAGAACCATTAAAAGACAGGTTTATTTTGCCAAACAAGATTCACCTCTTAACGATTCGCATGTTGCCTCTTAATGAAACTATTAAGAAGTAAACAAACAATCCCTTAATACAGGTTAAATAATGTGACTTGTCTTCTTAGTGCGTATTCAAAGCTCAAAAATAATTATAAGAATTATATATGATATAATAATTGAAAATAGTTTAAAAGTATTAATCATAATTTATACTACATTATAAATCATTTGACAAAAACTCTTAAAAATAATTTTTTATGCATAAAATACTGTTTATTTATGCATATTATTTAAAATTCAATATTACAAGTAGAATATGCATGATTATATCTTATTAAAGCTCCATATTTGAATTCGTGTAACTAAATGCAGATAAACATAATCAAATACATGATAAACATCATTTTAAATATAAAAAATGTAAAATATAATTAGAATAATTGAGTTCTAACAAAGTACTTAATTATTATTTTTAAAAATTTATTTTATGAAACTAAAAATAAATTAGTTCGTTATTAGACTTCAATGAATTATAATAAAAAAATAAGTTAAAGAAATTACACAAAAACGATAACTTTTAAGTAGTTAATTTAATACTAATATCAATTATTTTTTTTCAAATTTTTATAACATCTTTAAATTTATATTTTATTCAAAAATAAAAATATTTTCGTTTTCTCAAAATCACATAAAATCGCAATATAACATCGATAGAGCCAAGATATAAAACAAAACATTAAACTCAAGATGTATTTTCATTGCATTGTGCAAGTACCTTTCTAGTTATATTCAATAGAAGAATCATTTTTTAAGCTTTACTTAAAAAACGGACAAAATTAATATCTAAATGGGATGTCAAAATCTTGATAAGAAATCGACTTGAATTCTTATAAACGCATAGTTGACTCGTTATATGTGTTTGAGCTTTTATACACACACACACACATATATATATATATATATATATATATATATAACTCAATCTCAACCGTCAATTTAATTTGATGAATATGTGATTTCATAAAACTCATATGTATATAGAACTCAATCTCAACCGTCCATTTATATATATTATGCAAACTTTTACATTTGTACAACCAATACAACTCAATCTCAATCGTTCATTTAATTTGATGAATATGTGATTTCATAAAAGTTTTGATTGTTTATTAATATAAATTATTGATCATAATTAATAAACTCTAATCATTTTCCATAAATATTCAAATTATAATAAATGAATCCTCATCATTTTCATAAATATCTCAATTGATTGAGTTGCATTAGTTGTACAAATGAACATGATTGCATTTGAAATATACCATATATATATATATATATATATATATATATATATATATATATATAAAGAGAGAGAAAGAGAGAGACTTTGTTTTTCAAACACAAATCCTATAATTAATACAATACATACAAAAAAATCTCAACCATCCATCTAATCTATACTGTATTATAAAACATTTAACAAAAATTCTTAAAAACAATTTTTTATGCATGAAGTACTGTTTATTGATGCATATTACTTAAAACTCAATAGTACAAGTAAATTATGCGCAAGTACAACTTATTAAAACGTTATTTTTGAATTCGTGTGACTAACTGCAGATAAACATAATCAAATACATGATAAATATCTCATTTTCAATATAAAAAATTAAAATATAATTATGATAATCATTGAGTTTTAACAGAATACTTAATTATCATCCTTATAAAAAATTATATTATTAAACAAAAATAAATTACTTTGTTATTAAATCTAAATTAAATTAAAATTGAATTAAATAAATTACATAAATCATTTGACAAAAACTCTTAAAATATTTTTTTATGCATAAAATACTGTTTATTAATGCATATTACTTAAAATTCAAGATTACAGGTAGAATGTGCGTGATTATTTCTTATTAAAGCTTCATGTTTGAATTCGTATAACTAATTGCAGATAAACATAATCAAATACATGATAAATATCATTTTAAATATAAAAAAAATATAATTATGATAATCATTGAGTTCTAATAGAGTACTTAATTATTATTTTAAAAAATATATTTTATTAAACTAAAAATAATTTAGTTCGTTATTAAACTTCAAATCAATTATAATAAAAATTTGAGTTAAAAAAATTACACAAAAACGAGAACTTTTGAATAGTTAATTTAATATTAATATCGATTATTTTTTTTCAAATTTTTATAACATTTTTAATTTTATATTTTATTCAAAAATAAAAATATTTTCGTTTTTTCAAAATCACATAAAATCGCAATATAACATCGCTAGAGCCAAAATATAAAACAAAACATTAAACTCAAGATGTATCTCATTGCATTATGCGAATACCCTTCTAATTTTATTAAATAGATGAATCATTTTTTAAGTTTTACCTAAAAAAACAGACAAAATTAACATCTAAATGGGATGTAAAAATATTGATAAGAAATCGACTTGAATTCTTATAAACTCATAGTTGACTCGTCATATGTGTTTGAGCTTTTATACACACACATGTATAATATATATATATATATATATATATATATATAGGTGAGTTATTATGCAAACCTTTACATTTTTACAATCAATACAATTCAATCTCAATCGTTCATTTAATTTGATGAATGTGTGATTTCATAAATTTTTTGATTGTTTCATAATATAAAATATTGATCATAATTAATAAACTCTAATCATCTTTCATATATATTTAAATCATAATAAATGAACCCTCATCATTTCCATAAATATCTCAATTGATTGAGTTGTATTGGTTGTACAAATGGACATGTTTGCATTTGAAATATACTATATATCTATACTATATTATAAAGCATTTAACAAAAACTCTTAAAAACCATTTTTTATGCATGAATTACTGTTTATTGATGCATATTACTTAAAATTCAAGATTACAAGTAATTTTGCGTAAGTACAACTTATTAAAGCTTCATTTTAAATTCGTGTAACTAACTGCAGATAAACATAATCAAATACATGATAAACATTCATTTTAAATATAGATAATCTAAAATATAATTAAGATAATCATTGAGTTATAACAGAATGTTTAATTATTATTTTTATAAAAAAATATATTATTAAATAAAAAATAAATTACTTTGTTATTAAATATAAATTAAATTATAATAAAAAAAATCGAATTAAAAGAGTTACACCAAAACCAAATGCAATTTATATTTCATTTAAAAATAAAAACATTACCGCTTTCTCAAAACCATATAAAATCGTACTATATCGATAGAGACAGAAAATAAAAATTATACATTAAAATCGAGATTTATCTCGCTGCATTTCACGAGTACGCTTCTAGTATATATTTATCTCGCTGCATATATATATATATATATATATATATATATAGAGAGAGAGAGAGAGAGAGAGAGAGAGAGAGATTTTCAAATACAAATCCTATAATTAGTACAATCCATACAAACAACTCTCAACCGTCCGTCTAATCTAATTAATATCTGGTTTAATGATTGTCTTGGTTGTTTTCTAATATAAAACGTTGATCATAATAAAAGAACTCTAATAACTTTTTATAAATATTTAAATTATAAATAAATAAATCTTTATTATATTAATAAATATCTCAATTAATTGATTTTTTTTATAACTTATATCAATGATTGTGTTTGTAAATGAAATCACCTATGAGTGTATAATAAAAACTCACCTCGTTTGTAACTTTAAAATGGAGTCAAATCTTTTGAAATCAACTTAAATTCAAAATGAGACGGTATTGTAAAATATATTATATATTACACAAGTTTTGACTATTTATAAAACTATAGGGGGTAAATTGTAAATATTCTGGACCAGCTGGGAACACTATAGTGGCTTTATTGTAATTAACACGAATATAAAAGTCTCTTAAATCAACAAAATCTTCAGATCTTCTCTACTACCATTTCCATCCTCTGCCTTCTCTCTCTATCTTTAGGGAAGTAACAATGCAGCTCCGTTCTACGGCGGCCGTCGCGGCGGTGCTCGTCTCCGTGCTAGTTGTCTTACTGCCAGAAGCAACAGTTGAGGGGCACAACATCACCACCATTCTAGCAAAGTTCCCGGAGTTTTCGACCTTCAACCATTATCTCACCATTACACACCTCGCCGACGACATTAACAACCGACAGACCATAACCGTTTGTGCAGTAAACAATGCTGGAATGTCAGATCTGCTAAGCAAACACCTCTCTGTGTACGCCATGAAGAACGTTCTATCGCTTCATGTGTTGCTCGACTACTTCGGCGCGAAGAAGCTCCACCAGATCACTAATGGAACCGCCCTGGCAGCCACAATGTTTCAAGCCACCGGTACCGCCTCTGGTTCGTCTGGATTCGTTAACATTACGGATCTGAAAGGCGGTAAGGTTGGATTTGGAAGTGAAGATGGTGGCAGAACGGATGCGACATTTGTTAAATCGTTGCAGGAGGTTCCTTATAACATTTCTGTTATCCAGATCAGCAGCATGTTGCCGTCGTCGGAGGCTGAAGCTCCGACTCCTGAACCTGCCGCCGTCAACATTACTTCTCTAATGTCGGCGCATGGATGTAAGTTTTTTGCTGAGGCTCTGTTAGCATCTGCCGCAATGAAGACCTACGAAGACAATATCGATGGCGGATTGACGGTTTTTTGCCCTCTCGACGATGCTTTCAAAGGCTTTGCTCCAAAATACAAAAATTTGACCGTCGGCGGGAAGCAATCGTTGCTTGAATTTCACGGTGTGCCTGTTTATCAATCGATGTCGATGCTAAAATCAAGCAACGGCCTGATGAACACACTAGCAACCGACGGTGCTAACAAATACGATTTCACCGTACAGAACGACGGCCAGGAAGTAACAATAAAAACAAGCCTCGTTACGTCGAAGATCGTAGGTACACTGATTGACCAACAACCGTTGGTCATTTTCACCATCAACAAGGTATTGTTGCCCAAGGAGCTTTTCAAAGCAGCTCTTTCCCCTGCTCCAGCTCCTGCGCCCGAGGCTGATGCTCCCACGGCTGATTCACCAAATTCTTCGAAGAAGAAGAAGCACAAGTCTCCACCAGCACCAGCTTCGTCCGATTCTCCGTCTGATTCTCCGGCAGATTCTCCGGATGGTGACGTAGCCGATCAACAATCAGATAGCAACAATGCTGCGGAAATCAAGGGTTTCAGATTTGCTGTTGTGGCTTTGAGTTTTTGGTTTGCCTCTTTTGCCATGTAAGTTCCCTCCCTTTGCTTCCCCTTCTCTTAGTGAAATAATTTGGTCCAGGAAATTGTCATTTACACTTGAAGAAATTATATTTCCATTTCATTATGATCACATAATGAAATTTGAATATGAGTTTGAGGGCGGAAGTAATATTTTTCATTAATTATTTGTAATCAAACGTGTATTGCGTGTGTGTGTGGTTTTGAAGTTAAAGAAAATGAGGTTTGCTTTAATTAGTATTGTTCTTGATGATTTCTAGTATATTATTTGTATACAACAAAATACAATGAGATCTAATGAAAAACTTGGGCATTTATGATTTTCGTCTTAAGCTTTAAATTATGATTTGATTGGAATGCAGGGACGAATTCCAAGAATCAGGGATGAAAATATAATCCTAAAATTGGTTTCAATCGGAAAGGGACTTAATTAATTGTGTTGTGATAAAAAGGCAAAATCATCCATCATATTCATCTCTCTTGGCAAAATAGATATAAATGTGCTTCTATTCACTTTTCATTTAATTATTGTGTTGGAACATGTTATGAAGTGCAATAATGCATCAAAAGCATGACTATTTGAGGTGTAGTGACTTATCCATCACGAGTGTGAGGAGTATCAAATCGACTGGACTTTTGACCATTTTTTCTGTACATATGTGGAACCTCCCCCTTCTCTTCAAGTATTTTTTTGTTGAATGATCTGAGTTTCATATATTTTCATATGGTATCAGAGTTACTCTACCATTCTAGGGACCCGACACCCTGGGTAGCCCTCTCATGACACTCTGGGATAATCAACGTCCATCTAGCCTTTATTAGAGGGGGCAGTGTTGGAGCCCCAGCATGTATAAGGTTTGTACAGAAATAATGTCCGTCTTTTATTGTGTACATCCTACCTCTAGAGTCGAGTCCCGGCTCTATATCTGTGTGTGTCTTTTACGGTTTGATTAGGTTTAGTTTTTGACTTAAACATCATAACTTCAAGTGCTAGCAAGAATCACGAGTCCCTTGTGTTAATTCAAGTGGTATTGAATGTTGTTTTTGTACTTATGATGTTACTATTATTGAGGGAATCATACAAAGTGACATTGTATTACAAGGTAGCTATCCACATATCCCCATGTGATGCACTATTATTCTAGGAATCATATATAATGTTTTTACGGGTTAGAGGCTCTATGTCAAATTTTTACTGAGTAAATATTTAGGGGCTATTTACCAATCGTTTATCCTGATGAGTGTTTACTGGTAAAATTCAACATTATCACCTATTTATTGGGTAAAATATTAATCCATCAAAATGATATCGAATGCAACAATTTACCCGATAAGCGGTAACCATGGTAAGAGTCATTATTCTCACTTACCGGGTAAGACTCTCAGTACTTACCTTTGCTCTTACCGTATAAGATTCTTGATACTTATCATATTTATCCGGTAACGTAATGATTTGATAAGCGTTTGTTTGGGTAAGTGTTTGGTAAACGACCCTTACTCGAGTGTTACTTACCGAATAAGAGATGCTTATGAACAATCCATTTTTATGGTTGATGATGTTACATTTAATTCAAAAAGTAAAAAAAAAATATTAAAATAAGGTACATATGTTAACATATGGAGCATAATTTAAGTAATTAATATATATTTCATTCTTTACATCAACTTCTTAAATGTGAGGAGTATGATCTCTAATATTTTTGTATATATTATATATATATATATATATATATATATATATATTAGTGTGAATAATTATGATCAACCACTTCTCTTCATTAAATAGTATTTTGAGCATCTGATTATTAACCAAAGGCTTTTATTAAAAAAAATTATACTCTTTCTGTTTTAGAACTTACAAAAACGCCTGTAAAATGATAACGCTTTGAAGTAATATAGAGATGTGTAGGCATTTTTTTTCGTTAAATACATTTTTATATATTGTTAAATGTATTCATATTTAGTAAAAAAAATCATACATATCAATAGTAAGATTTAGTTTTTACATTTTAATACTAGAAGGGTATTCGCATAATGCAGCGAGATACATTTCGATTTTAATATTTTATTTTATTCTTTATCTCTATCGATGTTATATTAGTTTTTTATGTGTTTTTAATAAAGCAATAACGATGTTATTTTTGAATATAATATAAATTTGAAGATATCATAAAAAAATTGAAAAACATATATCAATGTTAGTATCAAATTAACTATTTAAAAGTTCTTATTTTTTGTGTAATTTCTTTAATTTAAATTTTTTATTATAATTTAATTTAAGTTTAATAACGAAGTAATTTATTTTTAGTTTAATAATATAACATTTTATAAAGATAATAATTAAGTATTCCGTTAGAACTCAATAATTATCCTAATTATATTTTAGATTTCTTATATTTAAAATGAGATGTTTATTTTGTATTTGATCATGTTTATCTGCAGTTAGTTACACGAACTCATACATGGAGCTTTAATAAGTTATATTTACACACAATCTACTTGTTACATACATCAATAAACAATATTTTATACATAAAAATGATTCTAAAGAGTTTTTTTCAAATACTAAAATCATTTGATTTCATTTTGACATAAATGAACCTTTTCTTTTTACAAAAAACGAGTAAAGAGATAAAAGGAAAGAAAGGAAAAAGGGTCCTATGGTCTTGTATCCATATATCCCTTATTTGTAGCAAGACACACTCACATGCAACACAACCGTACCATCCTTATTTTCTTACTACCTTTGTTTAGGCCGCACATATTTTCTTTTACACACCCAACTTCACCTTTTAAAACTCAATAAAACACAATTCTAATTTTTGTTTTCTAATTCATCCTATTAAAATAACCCCTAAATTACATCAAAATTGAACATACTTTACATTCTTTCAAAATCCATTCATGACAAACAAATTCTAAAATTAATATTCACATTTTCATGTTAGTTTGTTTTAAAATAAATGTTAACTTTAAAAAAATATACCCACTTTTCGAATCTATATTTAGTTATGAGATTAGTGGGCTAAACCAGCCTGGTCCAAAGAGAACTGGAACCAGAGACCGGTTATAGGACTGCCAATCGGGACCGGTTGCAGTTTTGGAAGGTTTTGAGGGACCGGCCCGACCCGGTTTTTTTTTATATAAAAAAATAGCCATTTTTTTATAAATATAGTCGTTAATATAACCGTTTTTTCAAGTTTATGACCATTTTTTGGTCTTTTTTGACTTCTAAACCCTATATATAAGTATCATTGAATATTTTAATGTAATTTTAATTATAATAAAACTCATTTTTAAAATGTATTTGAGTGACTCAACTACAAATTTTATAATGTATTAAAAAAATCTATCATTAAAAAAAATATCTTTTGGGTCGGGACCGGTTGGGACCAGGACCGCCTACCCATAACCGGTTATAGAACAGGTTTACCGGGCTTGGGAATTTCAACCGGGACCGATTATGACAGGTACTGTTGAGGCCCGGGACCGGCTTCGGCCAGTGACCTGTTTTTGGCCATCACTATATGAGATAGATAAATTCATTTCTCCATTTATCGTCAAGAGTAAAATTGTTATGTAGTTGATTCAAAGATGTAATAATCATTCCAAAATTTTGTACGATTTAAATTATAGACATTTATTCTGAGTGCAGTAATTTTTTTGTTTACAAAGTTACAATAAATTTGCTTTTCCATCATAAAATTATGGTAACAAAGCCGATGGTGCTACGTAGGTGTACTCACCAGTCATTTATGTAAATAATCTTAAATGATATTTTAATTCAGTCCATCACATTTTTAGCCTATTAAAATCTCATTTTTAAAATCATATACCTAAATATCTCCGATTATATGTACGTGTCATTAAAGCCGAAGGTTTCATTTAACAAATCATGTGATTAAAAAAAGGATATCTTGTTCATCACGTGTTTAACAGATCACATGTATTTAACGAAAAATATTGAATCATAATCATAAAACTACTAAAATAAACGAACATATATCTATTTATAAATAATTTAATTTTAGAGTATATTACACTTTTTGTCGTCGTGGTTTAATAAAAAAATTGCAATTTTCGTCTTTGTAGTTGAGAAGTTGCAGTTTTCGTCTTTGTGGTTTACAATTGCTTACTGGTTTGGTTTCTTGCACTGATAAGATAGTAATTTAGTCCAAGGACAAAAATAACAATAAATTGTAAATCATAGGGACTAAAATCATAATTTCTAAACCATAAGGATTGAAATGAAAAACATTAACAAACCACATGGACGAAGATGGTAATTTACTCTTAATGGTATATATATAGGGAATGGTTCAATCGAGAACACCTTTATTTTACGAGAATGCGAGAACACCCTTTTACTATAGACAATCACATGTGATACTATTATTCTATCATATATGATACACAAGTGATACTAAATCAAAGACGTGAGCGATTTTCGATGTGATCTTGGTTGCGAGCCAAGTCGCCCTTACTCCACTAAGCCCCTCACATGTATTATCACATGTGATAAGAGTGTTGTTGATATGATACTATTATCCATAAAAACCATCACATGTGATGCTAAATTATAAGCGCAAACAACCTTTGGCGTGGGCTAAGTCGTAGATTACGTCGTTTGCAAATCACATGGTCCCTTCATGCGTATCATCACATGTGATAAAGATGTTCTTGCGTTCTCGTAAAATGAAGGTGTTGTCGTTTGAACCTCCACCTCTCTCTCTCTCTCTCTCTATAATATATATGTATATATATAGGGGTGGGTTCAAATAAAAACCACTCAATTTGTAAAAACCGTGAAAACCACATTCAACCAATCATAATTTTTCATTTTGTTCATTTTTTT